TATGCTGACTCTCTGTAAACCGCTTAGAGAGGCCTGAAAGGCCTATGAAGCGGTATATAAGTCTACTGCTATTGCTATTGCTATTGCTAATGATTTAATCAGAATTTTCTGGAAGATCTTGTAGTGCACTTCCAAAAATCTGTTTGGTCCTGAAGAGTTTTGCATTTCCATTTTTGAATTATATTTTTGTTTCCTCCTTAGTAATTGGCTTATTAAAAGTTTCCTTTTATTGTTGAATCCATTTTGTAAGTTGTATTGTCTAAATATTCTTCAATCTGTTTTAATATATGTTTGCTATATAATAATTTAATATGATTTCATGTCAATTTCTTCCACATTTTCTGCACCTTTTTGTATCCTTTCTGCATCTAAAGTATTTCACAAATATTTAGGAGCCACTCATACTTTTAGGTGACCTGTTTTTGTTTCAGATTGATAGTCCCTCTATAGTTGAATTTGATATTAGGGGGAATTTTGTATGTACAATATTTATGTGATTACAATAAATTAATAATAATGATTTTTGAAAATTGGTGTGATATTTTGATATATTCTGAGAAAAAATGTTTTCCTGTCTTTTAGGACTTGTTCTCTCGGATATTATCGAAAAATACTTCGTATCGCCCACTCTCTTCAGAGTCATCCGATTGGCTAGAATTGGGCGTGTTCTTCGGTTGATCAGGGGAGCAAAAGGCATCCGAACTCTGCTCTTTGCTTTGATGATGTCTCTGCCAGCATTATTCAACATTGGCCTCCTACTATTTCTGGTTATGTTCATTTATTCCATTTTTGGAATGTCAAACTTTGCTTATGTTAAGAAGGAATCTGGCATTGATGACATTTTCAACTTCGAGACGTTTGGTAACAGCATCATTTGTCTTTTTGAGGTCACCACATCAGCTGCTTGGGATGGCTTATTGAACCCCATCTTGAACAGTGTTCCCCCAGATTGTGATCCTCATCTGGACAACCCTGGCAGTCATGTGAAAGGTGATTGTGGCAATCCTTCCATGGGCATCTGCTTTTTTTGCAGTTATATCATTGTCTCTTTCTTGATTGTGGTTAACATGTACATTGCCATCATTTTGGAGAATTTTAATGTAGCCACAGAGGAGAGCAGTGAGCCTCTCTGTGAAGATGACTTTGAAATGTTCTATGAAACATGGGAGAAGTTTGATCCTGATGCCACACAATTTATTGCTTACAGCACACTTTCTGATTTTGTGGATACCCTGCAAGAGCCGCTGAGAATTGCTAAACCCAATAAAATTAAACTGATCACTCTGGACTTGCCTATGGTTCCTGGAGATAAAATACATTGCTTGGACATTCTCTTTGCCCTGACAAAAGAAGTTTTGGGAGACTCTGGAGAAATGGATGCCCTGAAGCAATCAATGGAGGAGAAATTTATGGCTGCAAATCCTTCCAAAGTATCTTATGAGCCCATTACCACAACACTAAAACGAAAACAGGAAGAAGTCTGTGCCATCAAAATCCAAAGAGCATTCCGCCGATATCTGTTAAAACGGTCAGTGAAACAGGCCTCATATCTGTACAGGCAGAGTCAAGATATGGACATACCGAAAGAAAATGCCCCAGAGAAAGAAGGAATGATTGCAAACAAAATGAACGCAATGTATAGCTCACAAGTAGAAGTGGAAAAGTCCCCAGAAACAGCTCCATCTCCTGTACTTGAGCCGCTAAGCAGCCCCGAGATTAAAAAGGATGCTGGTGAAATGAAAGAGCAGGACAATAATGGCAAGGAGGGAGATGACTCTGGAAAAACTAAAAAAAGTGAGAATGCTAAACGTGGTGTAAAAGAGTCATCTGTATAATGAACACACATATAGACAACAAATGTTGGTGTATGGTTCCAAATGATTTTTTTCACAAAATCCTTTTGGCATCTTCTATTTTAGTATACAAACAAGGTTCTTTTGCCAGATTTCAGGTACTTCACGCCACACTTCAACATTGAAAGCAGAATCCATCTGATTTCTGGCTTGTTTGCTTGTTTTTAAAATTTACCATAAATTGCAAAGTGTTTTTCCCCCTTCTTTCCTCATAATGTAAATGTGCAGCATCTCCTCTTCTGGTGAAAAGATATCCTAGTTTCATGTTAGTTCATATGTTCCATAGAATGCCCCAGAAACAGTTTTGATTATTGTAAGTACTGAATCATATCGAATGAGTTGAGAATCAACTCTTTATTAGTAGAATGATTAAGCAGTGGAAGAAAAGGGGAAAAGAAGAAAGTCTTTAATTCATTATAATCAGGTTGAAGCTTTGAATGAAAACAGATCGTTTCTGTAGAATTTCACCAGGATCTCTTAAGCTTCATGTGCTTAAAAATGTGTCAATAATAACTGTTATTTAGTTATTGATCTGATCAATTCTGCAATTTTTCAGAAGATTGAATATTTTACTAATTTATTCTGCTAATGCTGGGGAAATATCATTGGGCATGAAAGCCTTCAATTGAATCCCTGAACAATGTATGTATGTATGTATGTATGTATGTATGTATGTATGTATGTATGTATGTATGAACGAACTGTTTATGGCTTCTGACAATTCATTTATTTGTATTTCACTTCTTTTTCAGCCATAAGAACTAGAAATATACTTTCTTTTCAGTCAAAACTGAAATTTCCAGTTGGCTGAAATTAATGCCCATTGCTAAATTCTGCCCACATGCAGAAATTGGATATGATTATGGAAAACAAAATATGCAAAGCCGGATCTTAGTGATTAGTACGTCTTAAATCCAGTTTGAAATAGCTGGAAAATACTCATCTTTAGCAATTTCCTTCTTCTTTGTATGTCTTTCTTGAAGATGGTAGCAGTGAAAGTTAGGATCTGTACTTGTGCTCAGATATTAACAACTAGGTGAGGGTCTCTGACTTCTTTAAAAATAATAATATTAATAGACATAGACTTTGGGTTTAGGATTCTTTCCAGCATGTACAGTATGGGTGCAAAATGAATGGCATATACTAATAGTTGAAATAACAGCACAGTTTAGGAACACAAAACTGCAATGTCTTAAATATGATTCATTTTTTTATTTAAATAATTTGAGCAGTCTTAAAAAGATTTTTGTTAGAAGTGGCTGGAAGTCCAATTAAGTTTTAATTAGATACTACCAATATAGTTTGTTTGTTTTTTCAACAAAAAAAACAAAAAACAAATGTGATGTGCTAATCTGTTCTCAGGATTTATTGTCAACTTCATAATTTTTCTAATTCTCAAGTCTACATATAATCTTGGAATGTAAGCTGCATTTTTTGTTTGCCAATCCACTTTTTTCTCCTTTAAAGAGCTCTGCTTTAGAATAAGGCATGGATTACATTCTGATTCACAGTTCAAATTGCAGTTTGCATCTTCCCATTCCCTCCTCTATTAACTACCTGTCCCTTAATCAAACAGGATTCCTTTTTTACTTCTCCCATTATTCAAAGTCTGGCTTAATGGCAGCCATTGCTCCCAGTTCTACATATTCTCTAGGATTTATGTGAATGTAATCAAACTTAATGGGTGGATGTTAGAAATCAACAATTAAATTAGCCATAATGACATGCCCTATAAATAAATAACCTGTAGTACATCCAAATGATAAATTGTAGGGGTTGCAAAATCTTTGCTAAGATATGTGTACTATGAAAATAATAAAGATGTAAATAAAGAAAATAAAGATGTATCTTTAGATGTATCTTGGCTGTGTCATAAGTCTGCTATTGTTCACCCTATTGACCATGATTATTGTACAAGGCTTGCTTCAAGCCATATTATGAAGTATGCAGATGATACAACAGTATGGGCCTTATTCGGAAAGATAATGAGGATGAGGTAAAAGGTTTGGTCAACTGGTGAAATAAAAACAGCCTGGTTTTAGGTGTAGGAAAAGCAAAAGAGAGAAAAGGCAGGCTCAACCATACACCTCTATGTACAAAATATTCAATTACGGAGATAGTTAATAGTACTAAGTTTCTGAGTGTACAGCTGATGAGGTTACGGTCTCTCAACAGTGAGTCACTGGTGAAGTAGGCATAGAAGCACCTGCATTTATGTTATATGAGAAGAGCACATCTTCCTTTCCATATCCTTACCACTTTCTATAGAGGTACAATTGAAAGCATCCTGTTATATTGTATTATTGTGTGCTTTGGAAGCATTACTGTTTTGGATAGGAAGGGTCTGCAAAAAGTGGTGAGGACAGCAGAAAATTGGATGTTCACTTTCTTCTATTCAATAGATCCCTGGGTCTTTTAACTTTATGATAGCTTTGTACACTAGGAAAATTTCCTCATGTTAATCTCTGAGATTCTGTTTTGATAAGTCACCAGATAAATACACACCTAATATCAGACCTGAGAAACACATAAGCCTCTAAGAAGAAACAATCCTTGGCTATATTTGCTGAGAAAGGTATAGTTTTATTAGAAATCAAGTGAATTGCAATATTGTAAAGCCAGAACTGAGAATCATATGCAAAAATCCCTGTTCAATTTTTTCCCTCCCTTAATGTCTTCCCCTCACTGATCCTCCCATGACCAATCAGATTTTAGCAAGATGCTTTCAGAATAATCACTTCAGGAGTAGGTTAGTATGCAATTGCATTCTCCTAGCCGGATGACCTTGAAACAGCATATTGGATGCAGCAGTTAGTTTATTTTCTCCCAAACATTCCCCCTTCTAGCCAGATACGTCAGTTAATTTCTTTTTCTCACAAGCATTCTCCTTTCTATGCATCTTTTTCATAGTTCATGGCAGATTGTCACAGCATGGTAACAAAGCATACAAGCAAGAAGATGATGATAGCTGACATTCTCCCACCCTTGAATAAAGGATAAATAAAGAATAAAGAATAAAGGATTGAATAAAGACAGAATAAAGTATATTTATAGAAAAGGAAAGAGAAAAAGAAACTAATAACTCAGTTAGGTTTATCAGTATACTGGACATGAATTTTTGCTAACAGCTTTGGTGCTTGCTACAGTGGAAGACAGGGTGTATCCTTTTAAGGTTTTTAGGTAATTAAAGTTCAACAGTCACAGGGTTGATAATTCTTACAATGGGAAAAGGACTCACAAATTTTGGTCTCAGATTCTTTGAAGGTTATCCAGATTGTAGATACTTGATGGACAACCTCAACACCTATTTTGATTTTTTTTCTGAGGGGACCTCTTTTTATCAGCATATTTTTATAAGTTTCTCTGGCCTCATCCAATGCCTGGTGAAATCACTAGCCATATAGTTGTATGATTCATCCACTCAACCAGAGAGAGGCATTTAGGTGTTTCTTGTAGGAGTTCTGGCTACAAAATCTCTGTTGGTTGTGACAAAGAAAGGAGCAAAATCAGTGCTGCTATATACTGCATTGTTGTACGCTTTCCCTGTGAATGGGAACAGGTCTGCCCAATGATCTTGCAGATAATTGATGTAACACCTCAGGTATTGTTCCAATACACTGTTGGCATGCTAAGGTGCGTATGGGTCAATTAGCCTCCACATCTTTCTTGACACCTGGCCAACAAAATTGACATCTAACTAGGTGCAGGGTCCTTATAAAACTAAAATATCCTGAAATTTTAGAGTTGTGGCTCCTCTGCAGAATCAAGAGCCTTTGGCTTGCAGGCACAGAGAGTTTACTATTGGCCCATGTGAGACTGTTGGGTAGAGGGACATCCTCCTTGTGGCTTACAAACCACTTGTTTTGGACCAGGATTGCTTTCATCGCCTAGGTAAGGTTGTCAGTCAAGTTGGATTGCACTTTGCTGTGTGTTCTGGTTGTGGCTAGTGCTGCTGTTTAGTTGGAGGGGATGACAGTGTCTACTACGTCTCTTACAGTTATACAGGGGAATTCTGATGAGGGTATTTTCCTATCCAGGTAGGTGTTCAACGTGAAATTAAAACACTTGAAGTATTGCTCCCCTCTCACTTATTTGGGGTGAAGTTTTCAAGGGGTTTTCAGTGATGGTCCACACTTTGAAAGCCTCTTCCCCTCTTGTAGGAAGTGCTGCTAATGTTAGTAATGCACATTTCACTGTATAAGCTTTCTCCCAAACCATCCATCTATGTTTAGCCTCTGAGAGCTTTTTGGAACTGTATGTACAAGGCTGTAATCATTCCTTGATGATTAATGATCGCTATGCCATTTGTGTCTGCCTGGATGACAAAAGGCCTTTTGGGATCTGTTTCAGAACTGAAACAGTGTTTCGGAATTAGCAGCAAATAGTCTCTTAAGTTTCTCAAAAGTCACCTGACATTCCACGAGGTTTAGGTTTTTCCTTCCCTTTAGTTTTTAACAAATTGATAAGCTATAGAGCAATTTGAGTGAAAGCAGGAATGAATTCTATAGAAGTTTGTGAAACCCATGAAGCTTGCAACTGTTTTCGGGTGTGCAGTGCCTTCCATTCCACGACTGCTCACACCTTTCCTGTATCCATCTCCTCTTCCTAATGGGAGATTGGGTAGCCTTGATAGTCCAATTTGGGTTGGTAAAACTCACATTTGGAGAGCTTCACATACAACTGTGCCGCCAATAACTTATCTAGAATAATTCTACAAGTTTGACATGCGCATCAATGGTTTCAATACAAATTAACATAATATCCAAGTAGACCAAGCCTCCTTTCAATAAATGTTCATGCAGGACTTTGTTAATCAGTTGCATGAACAGAGCAGGTGGTCCTTGCAGGCCAAGAGGGAAGATCCAGAACTGAAAACTCCCCAGCGGGCAATTAAACACAGTTTACCATTCATTACAGCCTTAATCTGCATTTCTGTGTGTGTGTCTGTGTCTGTGTGCGTATCTATGTATGTCTGTCTGTCT